GGGGGGGGGGAAGGATGGACAAAACAAAATGCCATTAAAAGGAAATGTATGGTATTGTACAGGTTTAACAACGCTTTCAACATTGTAAGGTCATTTAAAAGGCGATAAAACATTAAAACATTCCTGGCATGTTTCTTTCTTTTTCTTTCGTGTAATAATTTCCCTGATTCTTTTTTTAAACAGGTAAAAAAACACCCACAGTCAATCTCCAACCAAACAGAAAAACATGTCCCAAAAGTGAAGAGTCATTTTCACAGTCACATAATACGTACCAGTAAGTACATAAAAAAAACCCAACAAAGCATGGTAAGCTTATATGACGTATATACGACCACAGGAAGAAAATCAATCAAAACAATCGCTTTGGACAAAGTCATTCCATATGACTTGGTAAACCGGCATACGCATATGGCTGTACATCAACAATACGCTGGACTAGCCCTCAAAGAATTCGATGGGTACAACAATTTGGTGTAAAACTGCAAAGAAATAGCATGCAAATCTCAGGGAGCATGTGTTCAAACAACACAAAAACTATACATTATGTACACTTTCATCAGTAAAAAAAATGTAGTCCCCAAGAAGGCGATTCAGAGTATTCGTACAGAATGGGACTTCGTTAACAGTCTTCCGGACAGCTTTCCATCAACAGGAAACAACTTGACAATGCAGTAGTACAAGCTCAGAGTTTACTAGGAACAAAATTCCCTCCCTTTTACCAAAGCTACATTCTATAGTAACCTTGTTCAGAGTGTGTGTTGGTTTTAAGTTCAGTTAACTCTATGAGGAACACATTCTTGTTATTCAACTACACTTGAAGACTGCGTGCTATTTTGAGGTGCTTTAACTTTTAAGCCTATAACTTCATGACTGGTACTGGTACAGATTTTTCGATTCATTATTTCTTTACCCGAAACCTAAAAAGACAAGACCGCAACCTGCATACAATGAAGTATACAAATTTGTGTTTCAGGTTTGTGTACGATCATTCAAATGTGCAACAACATTGCTTTTGGTATGTGGTTGGACATATGTGTCCACTACATCATTACAGAGTTGTAACTCAACATTCTCCTGCTCCCAACACCCAATGTCATACATGATCAACACTTGGGTCACTTATCATCACTCTACATCCCACATTGTTCAACACTGCCGACTCCTGCTCTGAACTCCCAGTGCAAAAAATGTTCAGCTCTGCAATATCCTGCTCACATTATACAATGTCAAAAATTTTCAACGTTGTTGTCTGCTACACCTATCAACCACCCATGTTGAAAATGAATGTTCAACACTGCAGTCCCCAGCACCTATGATCCCAAGTTAAAAATACTCTCCACAGCTGCCTCCTGCTCCTCAGGGCCAATACCCCCAATGTTCAACAACTCGCTGTCCCGACTCGTAACCTCCGACGAGTCCCCTTCTCCTGCCCCTGCGCCCGCGCTCCCCAGCTCACCGACAACGTTCCCCAACACCGACGCCACCGTGGTATCACTCCGTCCCTCACACCCCCCAGTGACCAGCACCGTACGCTCCGAATCGGAACATTCCGCACCAAGAGAAGTAGTCTTCCCACTGCCATCCATTTGTTCTTGAGGCATCATGTTCAACACAACAGAATCCTCGTCCAAATGCTCGATCTTCAGCACCACGACCTCCGAGCCACCGTCCTCCACACTGCACACCGTGCCCGCACACTCCTCAGATTTCACCACCAGCCCAGGATTCACGCTAGTGCCACCTGAGGGGCTCAGCACCGTATTCACACCACCCGCTTGAGTCACCAGATCCCCAATGCCAGAGCTTGCCGGTTCACCGACTGTCACAGCATGAAACATTCCATCCTCCTGAACCTGACTAGATCCCTCAGACGTCCGTGACTGACCATCCAGACCTACAATATTTTGACCACTGGCAGACCCCATCGGATTTGATTCGTACCTTGAAGCGATTCCAGAGACTAAAGTAGAGTCGTGTTGTCCGCTGGTCATTCCAAGAGCATTGGAATCATGCTGAACAGTAATCCCATGGCCTAAAGAAGGGTGGAGTTGACTGCCATCCAGTCCATAAGCAACACAATCCTGCTGAACAGAAATCTCAGGGACAAAAGACGAGTCCTGCTGACTATTGGTCATTCTAAAATTATCCGGCACGGACTGTACAGAAATCCCTGTGACCAAAGACTCATCATGTTGACCCCCCGTTACACGTAGAGCATCAGATTCATGCTGCACAGTGATACCAGTGGGTAAAGAAGAACCATGTTGCCCGGCTGTCATATGAACAGTACCAGATCCGTGGAAAGAGTCACCTTGACCGCTGTTACGACCGCTGGCGCCCACAAGAGTAACGGGTTCATCATGAGCTACGCCAACCCTAAGACCTAAAGAAGAATCGATGTGACCTCCCGTCATTACCACGTCCGGTTCCTGGCGTGCGTTGATCTGCGCAGCTAAAGACTCGAACTTGCTGACCAAGTCCATGCTGCTGTCGTTGACCATGCCCTGCAGGGCCCCATCCACCTGGAGAGAAAAGTTTTGACTTTTACATCCCACTCAAAACAATGTACAGTACTATTCACAGCTTATTGAAAAACTGGAACCTTTAAGTTACTCATTGTAATGTATGTAACATCATATCATAACAAATTTATGGGTGACAGGGAAAGATCGGGATAGTGAGGGTTTTTGAGAGCATTTGAGCACAGATGAACCATGTTTGCCAATACGTTTCAGATCTGGCGCTTGAAGTAGAAAAAGAAGAATTGCATTAACATCACATACCCATGCTCTACAGCATTCTCTAGGCACTTTACAACCAGTTATTAAATTATCATGGCGATTTTGGTTGATTTAGGCAGAAATGGGTTGTATCAATATCCACCAAAAAAAGAAATACTATGACGATGTGAATATGGGAACAGCCAAATAATTACATTATATATATGAAAATCAGGAATAATACATACGTCCAACTTAACAATGGAGTCCTGCGAGGCGTCGCTGAACAGTTGTACACCACTGTACGACCCAGCACTACTGGAGAACAGGCCCCCCGACGACGGCAGCTTGTGACCAGAGCCTGACGAGGAGACCTTGGTGAGCGGGGAGATGGCGCAAGGGTCGTCCTTTTTGCAGAAGTTAGCGTCTAAGAAAGAACTCAAAGACACATCACAGCCCTGAGGATGCAAAGTTGTGAAATGTTTAACATTCCGATTGACAAAATTTAGATCCATTAGAAAGATAGCCGCTGTCAGGACCAACCCTAATTTTGCAGAAACAGACACCAAGACATGGATAACCAAAATTTTTAAAAACCCATTCCCTCACACAGGCCAAACACTCGTCCTTTATTTACATAGCAAAGGGCATGTCAGAAGAATACAATAAATAAAACATGAAGGTCACCGAAACGGCTAAATAATCTAACAAGTTTAATACAAAAGTGAAAGTTACGTAGTAGTAAAAGTTCAGGCAACTGACAAACTTCGAACTGAACACACTAAAAAAAGCACACAAATAAATGGGAGTTGAAAATTTATTCGTCTGTGGTTGTTATGATATACCATACAAGTTTCTAGCTTCAGTGGGATGCTTTTTTTATTCTTAGAGATTTTACGGCGCTCGCAACTGCATAAGATCATATGAGCGCCAGAAGATTAGAGATGCTAAAAGAGAGTAAAAAACATTTTTTAAAAGGGGAGACAAGGAAGATAGATGTTTGATAGGAAACAAGGAAATCACACCAGAGCACCCACCAACCAACCACGGGGATGTGTTGAAAGAACGTCTTTCTGACATTACCGTGTGTCAGTGTAACGAAGGCAAAAATAATCCGCTGCTGAGGGCAAGTGAAGGTCAGAAATAATTGACTGCTGTAAGGGTTAATAGCTATCAAGTCAGGATAGATTTAGGATCAGCCGAAGAGGAATAAAAGTAGAACAAGGGTAAAGACCAGATTATGTCAGTGTGCCGAAAGCCAAGAACCTTCAATATTTCCCCAATTTCTAGAAACTTCTGAGACAAAACAAATTCCGTCATTTTTACCTGGGTAGTTTTGCTAAAGGAGACAGCACTAGCATCGAGGGCATCCGACGATGACGAGTCGAAGAAGGCTGTGTAGCTGGGGGGCCCGGACAAAGATTCTCCACTCTTACCACTGGCCTTTTTGCCGAACGACGAATTCTCATCCAAAATGGCAGACAGAGACACATCCCCAGTCTGAAACATTTCACAAAGAAAGCAGTTAAAATTAGTAAACTCACACTTTTAGAATTGAAACACAATAAAAAAAAAAAAACAGCAAATCAATCCCCACCCCCATCCCCTCCTTCACAGTAAAATGGCAAACGTCCCTTCCTCACACAAACCTCCCATGTTGTTACAAACATTGATTACCATGAGCCAGATGTTCTCATTGTAAGCATGAAGCCCATCACCAAACCTACTGGCAGATGGAATGTCACCTCCTGTACTGCCTTTTTTTTATGAGACAGAAAAGCTTACATATGCTATGTCAAGTACGAGAGCTAAAGTGACTAATAAACAGGAAGCAATTGGAGAGGCGAACACATTAACCTTTCTTCTTTTTAAATAGTAGTTTTGTCATTATCAACTTGACACTATTTCAATCATTTACGGTCAATAAAACCAACAAAACAAAGGGTAGAATTCCATGCTCATACTACACTAACAAGTTACATTTACATTACTAATATAAAACCAATCCATGTTCAGTAAAAGCAACTAAACAAAGCAAAAGATGGAATTCCAAACAGCTTCTAAGCTCCTCTCACTCACATCTGTGTTGAGCCACGCCTGGTCGGAAATGTTCAACTTGAGCGGGGAGGAGAACATGCTGGTGTGTGACTGGATGTCAGCGGCCGAGATGCCGTGGTGTGGTGGAGTCCTCAGCACCGACGGGTCGAAACTGTGACCGGTGGTAGCTGCGCCCGTCGTCTGGAGGTGGGGGCCTGGACCTACCCGCAGGCTGTCCGACTTGTCTCCTTGTTTCTCAATCAGGCCTGCCAATAAAACATTTAGAATGGGTTTTTTTTGGGGAGATGGGGGGAGTTTTTTTTGGGGGGGGGGGGGGGTTGTTGGTTTTTTTTGGGGGGTTTTTTTTGGGGTGGGGGGGTGGAGAGTTCATTTTAGTAGGAGTTTTACAACACTTGCAACACAAGGTCAAATAAGTGCCGAAGACTAGAGGTGTTACAAAAGAATAAAAGACACAAAAAAAGGAGGGGGAGAGATGCTTGATAGGAGAAAAGGAGCAGACCATACCAAAGCACCCGCCAACCACCAGTCTTTTTTTTTTTTGATGATTTTTCTTTTTATAATAGTTTAATGCTGTACTCGACACAAATAACATTTCAAAGACAGAGTACTTAGCCTGTGGTAAGAAAAAAGAGAAAAGAAGGAAGGAAAGAGGGAGGACGTAACTCAAATATCATCAACTCCAATACAAGAGGTCATACAAATAAAACTCACCTGAGAACCCTTGCTCGGAATTCTGCATCACCATGTCCAAGAACTTATCACCAGCATCTGGTCCCACTGAGAAAAACATTTTTGAAATACTTAAACCAACAAGAAAGCTATGATTACATGGGGTGTGTCTGTGAAAAACTTACTAAATCAGATTATGTATTGAAAACAGCAGAACCTCATTCATCTTTATCCCCCCCCCCCCACATCCAGTAAAACTACTGAATTTTATTCCACATAACAATTCTACTTATAAATAAAATAATAAGGGATCTAAAGGGGACCAGAATGATAGGCAGTGGGGCCCCAAACACACATATTACGACCAGACAAAAGCTTGAGGGATGAGTTTTGGTTTAGTTTTAATAAGAGTTTTACTGCACATGCAACATGATAAGGTCATATAAGTGCTAAAAAATAAAAGTGTTACAAGAGAGTAACAAACACAAAAAAAAAGGAGGGAAAAGATGTTTTTTTAGTTTGTTTTAGTAGAAGTTTTACGGCGTTCGCAACTGTATAAGGTCATATGAGCGCCAGAAGATTAGAGGTGTTACAAGAGAATAAGATCTTTGATAAGAAAGCAGGAACAAACCACACCAGAGCACCCGCAAACCACCCACGGAGGGTCATGTGCAGATGGACAGACCAACAGACAACAAAACATGGCACCAATCTCCACAACTCACTGTTTGAACAGTTCATGGATATGTCCAGGTCAGAGATGCTAATATCATTTTGAGACATGAGAGACATGTCCGAGATCTGCACCATGTGGGAAACTGGGGTGACGACGCCGCTCACAGCTGGGACCTCTCTAGCATTTGATGTGGCAGCTGACAATTCCAGAGGGTTTGTACTGCATACAGAGTCCAAGGAACCAGACATGGCTACAGAAGCCAAAGGCAGGAATCCCGTTATTGGTGCAGTATTGATCGTATGCTGGGTGCCAGGTGGGGCAGGCATATCTTTCCCTCCGTCCAGAACCTGAAAAGTACACACGAAAACAACACTGTTGTTAAAATCTAGGTCACAGATAACAATCCCACTCAAGGCCCACACAGGCCCCATCTGGCCCTGCGAACAAATATATCCGGCCCACAAGAGAATTTAAAGCAGTCCAGTGTGAGAATCTCCATAACTCAAAACTTACTCAAAACATACAAAACTTGTTGCCAAGAAAAAATTAGTTTTAGTTTAAGTAGAGGTCTTACGGCGCTCGTAACTGCATAAGGTCATATGAGCGCCAAGGGGTGGATGTCAACAGAGAAGTCCTTATAGGGAATCAGACTTACTCTGCTCACCTTTCCAGCTTCAACAGCACAAAGTCTGCTTCGACTATCAAGGCACCCCGGAAATAATGGGTCACAAGAGTGTGAAAAACATACAAAAGAAGTAGAGGAAAAATGACAATAGTAAGGATTAGGAAAGAAAAAGCAGCAGTTCCTGTTGTAGATCAGGCACAGTTATGAGCGTGACATTGATGAATCAGCCCGTTTACAATTCTACTGTGCATGAAAGAGAAATGTTCCCCCTTTGGGAATAGCCTAAAGACACTTCAGTCAGTGGCACTGCCCCGGGGTCAAGAAAAGATGCGAAACATCCATCTCTGACAAATTGGAAAAAGAGCAATAATTGGTATGCCTTGATTTAGTAGATTTTAACATTTGTCTGTTTTCATTCATATTATTCTTTTAAAAAGGTTTCATTTTCCACTAGTCACTGGATGTTTATCCAGTTCGGCCTTCAACCTTCTTAACCCAGCAATCAGAGCAAAACAAGCCATAGACTAGCAAGACATCCTCTGAACAGGATGAAGATACTTTTCCAAGGAGTCTACTACATGAGAATTCAGGTTTTAGTAAGAGTTTTGTAGAACTTGCAACACAATAAGGTTATATAAGTGCCGAAGACTAGGGATGTTACAAGAGAGAAACAAACACAAAAAGAAGAAGAGATATCCATGATAAATGTTTGATAGGAAAGAAGGAGCAGACCACACCAGAGCACCCGCCAACCACTAACTGCATTTGAATGTATCAAACCTATATTAACAATAGCCACATTTAGAGTAGAGCACCTTTTACAATCTCTACATCGTAGAAAAGGGGATACATAAAAGCCCACACAAAGATGTCATGAAATGTAATAGAATTTTTAAAAATCAATTTTGTTATTTTTTAAGGCAAAAATTTAGCTTACCTGATTCGGTAGTTGAGCTGGTCCAAGGAGAACAACATCGTTTGAACGGTCAACAAGGGGATCTGAGATAAGATATGAGGTGTCAGGTAATCGAGTATGTGGTACATGGGCACAATAACTGAAAAGTGTCCAGTCTATTGAGTAATTGGAGTATACAATGAATACATTACACCTAACTTTTTTTTTAATCTGGGGGGGAAAAACAGTGCATTTTTCTTAGTTTGTGAAACTTTTACTGTCTTAAGAATTTTGCACCACAGATATCTTCGAGTGAGAGGCAATGACTTTTTCTTTGATATTTATATAAATACAGTAGTCTCCGCCTAAGACCCCACCGTTTACGATTCCGGTTCGCTTAAGATCCCACTGTTTTAAGAAAACCGAAATTTACAACACAAAAGTCACCCCTAAGATCCCGCCCCGCTCTGATTTACTCTAAAAGTCTACATTCAGCGAAGATCCCGCATTTCAGATCATAATGTCCAGAGATCGAGTTACTTATTTGAACTTTCTCCTCACCTTTCGCCATCACCCCTGAGGTTGTCGGAGACCCCACAATGTTGGTCACAGGTGACAGGTTCTCCGGGTTCACCTCCACCATCACCTGGCCGGGGATGGAAGTCCCAGGCTGAGAGGGGGGGGACAAAGACAGAATAGTTTAGTTTTAGTAAGTTTTACCACGTTCGCAACTGCATAAGATCATATGAGCGGCAAGGGGTGGATGTCAACAGAGAAGTCCAAACGGGGAATCAGGCTAACTCTGCTCTGCTCACCTCTCTAGCATCAACAGCACAAAGTCTGCTTCGACTATCAAGGCACCCCGAAAATAACGGTGCACAAGAGAGTGAAAAACATACAAAGGAAGTAGAGAAAAAATAACAATAGCAAGGATGATGAAAGAAAAAGCAGCAGTTCCTCCTATGTTGTTCCGGCACATAAAATGACATTGATAAATCAGCCCATTTACAATTCTACTGTGCATAAGAACATGTTAATATCCCCCCTATGGGAATGGTCTAAAGAAACTTCAGTCAGTAGCACTGCCCTGGGGAGGCAAAGACAGAATTCCAAAGCTGCCAACTTGTCACAACCAAACAAACAAAAAACCACTCTACCCATGGGGCAGGTCAAGATAAAGGGCATCAGTTAGTTAACCCACCTACTAACCCTTCACACACCCTTTTCCTAGTTCAATAAATTTTTTAAAAATTCGAAGTGGACCTGCAGAAAAAGACCTTTCTAATTCACTTATGGGCTTCGTTTTTATTATTAGGTCTCGAAAGTTTGTAATTTTTCTTTAGCATTGGTAAGTCCGTGTAGCAACACTACAAAACACAGAATACATATTTTCTGATACAAAAACAGACTTTCACACTGAAAACCTCAGAAACATATCTAATACATTTTCCTGTAAATGTTGGCACCTAAGGCTTTCAATTACATAAACCAACATTGTTAAGAGCGGTTGAGAGCTTTTCATGAGTTCCGTGAGGCATCTAATCACCATGGGAATCAGCATAATTTCACAAAGAATGAACTAGAACAATAAAAAAGCTGAAAAGAAGTGTTTGTGACAAAATGCATTGACACCCAAGGAGCTGGAAGCAGTATATGATGGAGACACATTAAAAAAACTGACATGGAGCAAGGAACAAGATTGTGACATTGTTTAAAAAAAAAAGATCGATCCAGAACAAGCAAAACCACTCACCTGTATATACGCCACCATTTGGTTCGGGGAAACTTTCGGAAGAAGCGTCCTCTGTACTATGATTGGCGGAGCCTTCCGATTCTTAGGGGTCAGCGTTCTCTTCCTCAGTAATTTGTTTTTAGGCTCCATTTGCTAAATAAAAATACAGAACAGTCATTTTATTTCCTTTAACTTAAAAAAAACACACCAAAAAAACAACCCAATAATAATCATCTAGAACTGGGATAAGTCAGGAGAACAGTCAGAAATAACGCACTGAAAGTAATAACGCAGGACGGACAGGAGCACTCGCCGAATTTTACATCCATATCGAACACATAAGAGCCCGAAGTTAGCAGAGAGCTGTGAGATTTCCCCAAAAATTAAAATTCAAGAACATGCCATTGGGGAGTCGAACAAAGGCCAACCATTATCCTTAACATAACCTAGCATGATACAAACTGAGCTAACAGCCCATCTCATTTGTCAGTCAAATTAAGCGATCTACATACCTTTGCCTCAAACAAGAAATAAGACACACATTAAAAATAAGAATAATCTAATGAAAAAGAGTACATTTCAAAAGACAACAACAACCCATTAATCAAAACCATGGGTTTTTTTCCATTATCTAGGTGGTGATGGCGCGACAATACGGCTTTTCTGGGTCGATATGTGTGTGTCAATCGGGGTCGGTCAACAAAGAGAGATAACTCACAATAAGCTTGGCCGCACGCTGCTGCTCTTCTTTCGTCGGGCCCTGCTTGAAAGACGGGACCAGAGGCACTCGGAACACTGGGTCTTTGCCATTCACCTGGGTGGGACAGTTCATTTTTGTTTTATTAATCAATCTTTGTGAACTGCTTAGAAAAATAGAGACGAGACTCAGACCTTAGGAAAAGAGTAGTAATATAATAATAAAAATAATAATAATAATAATTATAATAATAATAATAATAACTGCATTTATATAGCGCATATCCATGCTCTACAGCATGCTCTATGTGCTTTACAACAACCATTACCCCAGCAGACCCTTAAAAGAACACTCAGAAACATTCTCGACTTCCCAGGAAGCACACAGTGCAAGCTACAGACTGCCCGCGCTCAAAAACTAACAAACTGACCAGATCTTTCACTGTCTATAGCTGGGTACAAATTCCCATCTGAGCAAAGTGAGGAGGAAAACTCATGCAAAGTGCCTTTAACCACAGCTAAAGTCAATGTGGCTATTTATTCAACATATGAAATTTTTGTAAATCAGAATGTTGTGAAGAGCAATACCAGAACACAGAGAATGCGTAATTATAAATACACTACTTAAAGCACCACAGACACCAGATGGCTACTATGAGCAGTCCCGCCAAGAACAAGTGATTATCTTCAGACTAAGAACACAACATACAAGACTGAGACAACATATTATGTACAGATGTTTTAAACTTGTGCTATCACCAAAATGCCAGAGCAGGGAGGCGGACCAAACAGTGGAACACATCCTTCAGCACTGCAGGACACACAGGGCCCTGAGACATGAAACTTGGCCAACCCCACTGACACTAAACGAGAAACTATACGGACTAACAGATAAACTGATCAGGACAGCCCAATATATGACAGATACCAGATTTCAAGTTTTATGCGACTGAGAACAAAAAGGAGAGAAAGCGAATTTTCCCATACAAAACTGACTTTCGTACTCAAACCCTCAAAAACATATCAAATGCATTTTTTATCTTTTGGTTCGGAGCTGTGATTATAGTATGAGTGTACTGGTACTGGTACTTGCCACCGAACCTCATAATTCCCTCAACAGAGATCATTACAAATCGCTCCCTCATAATTGCAAATCTCTATCTACTCAGTATCTAGTTTTAAGAAATTTGACGTTAGAGATTTTGAGTTTCACATCATGTCATACTTTTTCAAATGCAATTATTTTAATATCTTTATAACGACTCAGAATAACCTTACAATTTTGATAGAGCAGACAGAACATTTGGTTTTCCATCTCATGGTCTTAGAACTCAAAACGGCTAAAAAACGTCAGATAGAACTTTGTGATTCAGAGGTGGCAAAATGTTCCTTCATAGTTTTGTATACGATTCCTGCCCTCTGTCCCTATAATTCATATCCTTCCCTCTCACCTGTACTCTCGGCACCGGCACGGGTGTTGGGGCGGCCACAAACGTGCGAGGAGTCGCTAGCACAGGACGACGGAACATCTGCACAGGGGACGCTACGGGTGACTGGTATAGCTTCAGCGGCTCTGTGTTGGTGCAGGCATCTCGGCTGACGGGCTCTCGTCTCTCTCCAGCACACGACTTCTTGCATCGCTGACCCCCTCCACAGCCGCACACCGAACATGGACCTTTGGTTTTACTCTGATCCTGAAAAACACAAAGACAAGCGATAAAGGTCAGGACAATATCAAGGAAATGAGATGGTTGCATCCCTTTTCACCTTTACACAGGTACTTTAGTTTTAGTTTTAGTTTCAGTAATAGTTTTATGGCACTTACAACACATTACGTCTCATAGCTGCCACTCAGGAATTTCAAAAAAGGAGGAAATTCACTCGAAGACGTACGCGCGCTCTACGAAGGCCGGAGTAAAACCAGTGAGATCCAGAGGCAGTATGAACATCTAGCCTATGTTTTTAGAAGGGAAAACTGTCATACATGAATTTGTTAACCATAGGCTACTGAATTAAAACGTATTTGAAAAAAAAAAAACCACAAAAAAAACCAAGACATTAAGTTGACTAACAAGCATTTGACACAGTTTGGTTGACTAAAAATCCAGTGTTTGTTGCCAGCTTGTGTCTCATAATAATATTTCTTTCACTTTTATTTTAAACTTGTGCATCGATGTAGATTCTCTAGAGCAGTATTGGATCAAGGAGGCAAAACCTTTGCTGCCGAACTGAGAGATTTCTTTGTCGCACCAAACGCAAAGTGCGGCAAGCGGCTTGTTCAATTTTCTCATGAACTATTATGAACTTTTCAAGTCGCACACCGTCTGCTTCTTTCTCATTCCAGCTCCTTTTGTCTTTGCATTCTGCATCAATTTCTCTCGAATTTCCGCCATTTTCATCAATGACAACTCGGCGCGCCAGCGTCCCGATGCTCGATCGACACTGTTGCTCCAAAATATACAATGTGAAACTAGATCTAGCGCTAGGCACAGAAGAATGGAAGTAGAAAACTACGAGCGGACATGCGAAAGCCACGTTTTCGTCCCTCTTCCGGATCGGTGTTTTCCGCGTGTAAAAAAAGTACCGCAATTTGCGACAGAGAGCGGTCCAGCGGAGGAAGGAGGAAAGTAGCGGGAAAAGCAAGATGAAGCGGAGTTTCCGCCATTTAGCGGAAAAGTGGCAGCTATAGATCATATGAGTGCCAACCAATAGATGTGCTACAAGAGAGCAACCAACATTAAAAAGAAGGGGGAGAGTTAAGGACAATAGATGTTTGATAGGAGGAAAAAAGGGGCAAACCACACCAGAGCACCCACCAACCCTCACAGCACAGGTACACGTAAATGCACACTCCGTGCAAACACACATTTAGGAGCCCTCCCGAGCACCGTGCACTTAGGTGGAGACTGCTGTGTGAAGAAGCATAAAAAGAGAAACAAAATATTTATAATGCTATACCTACTTTATGAACACTTCCTCCGGTATACACAGTATTTTTAGTATTCTTAATCATTATGCTCTGTGTCATTCTACTTTCAAATATATGTTTACAAATTTTTACACATCAAATGCAAAACCCAAGTATACGCGAGAAAAAAAGAACAGAAAAAAAAAAGCAAATGCCGCTGACAACTTTCTTTACCAAGGCAAATAATTTTATTCTTTTAAACTTCAACATCACTACTTCCAAACAAAACAGAGCCAGCCCATCACCTGTGTACTTACATTTTTCTTACTGAACTCGGCCAGGTCAAGAGCAGCAATGTTGCAGAGTCTTCGCAGCAAATTGCTCATCTGACTCAACGCCTGATCCAGCAACGGATTAGTCGGCAGCTTCTTGTTCTTTTTCGGTCTCCATTCGTACTCCAGCCGGATGAGGCTGGCACGGCCCAGCATGAGACTGATGTGCAGGAGAGTGACGTTGTTAGAGTTACGCAAAGTGAACCCGTCCTGCGCCAAGTCGGTCAGACGAGCAATTTCACGCTCCGATTCCTCCGTGCTCTCCGCAGAACAAGCGTCCGCCTTATGAGGGGAGGAAGAATTGTCACTTGCTGCAGCCGAAGAACTGGCTGCATTATCACAGGCTTCTTGGTTTGACGAGTTCTTTTTGGACGTCTTAGACGACCTTTTCTTACCTGCCACGGGGGGTAAGGATATCACAAGGGGTGGCACGGTCAAAGTCGACGATGCTACGACCGAGCTGGATGATGATGATGAAGAAGATGAAGTGGGTGGTTTTATCACAGTATGCTTTGGGGTACCTTCCGAAGATAAAGGGGTCCCCACAACCTCAGGAGGAGAAAATGGAGAAGTATCTGGGAACATTGCGTTCTCGTCAGCGAGAATCATCGCTGGAGGTTTGGCCCCAACGGGAGCGTCTGCAAGGACATTTTTGCCCGTGGCTGTTATCGCGCTGCAGTCAGCTTCCGTTGAATTTATAGCCGCCAAATCATTGGCCGCCGCCGCCAATAAAGAGGCAAAAGATGACGGGGCTTTGTGTTCCCCTTCTGGAATGTTCTGCTGCCCCGATATCAAATCTGCTGTGGAGCCCTCTGTGCTGGAAGTGACACATGAGTCCCCTTTGTCGGTGCTGGAGCTTGGAACGTCTTCCTTATTTGCCTCTCCTGCTCCTTTGTCACTTTTGGCAGCTTCCTTGGCCAACAATGTAGCTGAAAAAGAGAGAAACCCTGGCATGAAACAGACGTGTTGTATAAAAAAATAAAGGCAACAGTTCGGAACCATGAACTCAAAAAATGAATTAAAAGCAAAACACAAGAAATGTTTTACACAATTATAAAATAACATTCAACTGTATCGACAAAACTGACAAATGCAATACGCTGAAGAATGTGTTCTACATGTTATGAAATGTTCTATAAATTTAGCAGTTAACATGTTCTTTTCCGTTTTTCTGAGGATTCATTAATAAACAATGTACATTCTAGCACACCACACATGATCATAAATACACAGAATTCACTTCTAGATTTCATATAGAGATAGACCTAAAGGTACCTTAACATACGTTTCTTCTCCCACTGTCCAAGCCTGATGAAACCACCAAAAACAACAAAAAAACTTACGCAGCACATGTTCCCGGAAGTGCGTGAAGGCTACGTCAATTTTCTGCGGCACCTGCGGTATAACAGTCACTGGTGCAATCTTACATTTGGGGTGCAGTGTGCACACCAGCTCCTGGTTCCTGTCATCCGCCCCGCCCATGCCCTCTTTCTGAGAGAGATTTAAGGAAAAAATTGCATATACAGAAGTTCCCACAACATAACTGGTAAGATATATTTTATTTATCTTCTGACCTGTCCATCAACTATTTCTGTCCTTCGTTTTGCTTTAACCACCGCTCAACCCTGAACAGACTTCTGGATCACATTCACATTACAACAAACTGCACTCATTCTGTCATGAATCACAACCAGGTAATATTTTAAAAAACTCACACTGCCTTCCGTAGACAAGATCACAGACAGGCACTGATTGTATGTTTTACATATTTTACACCCCTATCGACACAATATAGACCAACCAGGAAGTGAACTACTTCCATCTCGTCAGTCAGGAGTAGGAAACATCATCCAGGAACAAAGAACAGATTCAGTCAAAACTGTCATGGAGAAAAGATGTCTCAGAAAGATTTCTTGGACAGTGTTGAAATAATACAGGAAAAAATGCAGAGGGGGGGCCGGCCACGGACATAGGAAGGGGTCGTTCTGTGATTGTCTTGGATTGGACATGTGCGCCTTACAGCAGGTTCCACTATACCTAACCAAAAGTGGGGGATTTGATCGTTAAGAGCCAAACTACAACCCCCACTGATGCTGCATTCATTCCTAAGAGCCTACATAAACGTGTAACACTCTTCAATTCAGACCAGAAAGTCTCTTTCAGTGAGGAGTCTCTTTCTGTGAGAATACAAGCAAAGTGCCTCTCACCTCCTTCCCCCCTCCCCCTCCTTAAAACAAACTTGTTCATCTCCGCAAAATCTAATCAACGTTGACCAAACATTCATTTCAGGAAAGTAAACACATTCTTCATTTTTTTAAGAGGCAGTTGTTTGTGAGAAATAAAATCCTTCCAATCTTATGGATAGTTGAGTTGTCCTGTTTCTTACAAAAGCAGGTGCATCCATAGTCACGGCTGGTCCAACGACCACTAAAAATAATATCAACTGATCTAGTTTTAGCAAGAGTTTTACGGCACTTGCAACACAATTAGGTCATATAAGAGCCAAAGATAATAGGTGTTAAACGAAAGTATTAAACAGAAAAAAGAAGGAGAGGACAATAGATGTTTGATAGGAAAGAAGGAGCACGCGCCAACCATCCGCTAAACAACCGATAACTTTAAAAGCTATGGTAGGACATCTTCAAGGATACAAGCTTCAACCTGGGTGGCTTCCACTTCTTCTCCAAGAACTTGAACATGGACTCCAGCGTACGATTGGCCGTCATTTTGAAGCGCACCCTCGGGTTCTGGGAGAGGCCCTGAACTTTGGCCCAGGCGTGGTAGTTCTTGGGCGTGAGCTCCACCACTATGTGGGAGGGGAACTTGGCCGCAGTGTCGTCCTCTCTCACTGCTGACTCTGTAGAACACATCATGAAATCTCATTAGTTTAGTTTTATTAAGAATTTTGTGGCACTTGCAACACAATAAGGTTATATAAGTGTCGGGGATTAGTTTTATTTAGTTTTTAGTTTTAGTAGTTTTTACTGCGCTCGCAACTGCATAAGGTCATTTGAGCGCCAAGGGGTGGATGTCAACAGAGAAGTCCATACAGGGAATCAGGCTTACTCTCTTCACGTCTCTAGCCTAAATAGCACAAAGTCAGCTTCGACTATCAAGGCACCCCAGAAATAGCGGGTCACAAGAGTACGACAAACATACAAAAGAAGTAGAGGAAAACGACGATAGTTTGGACTAGGAAAGAAAAAGCAACAGTTCCCCATATGCAGTTCAGGCACAATTATGAGCATGACATTGATGAATCAGCCCATTTACAATTTTACTGAGCATAACAACATAATAATGCCCCCCC